TTGTTGTCACAGCCATGAAATTACTGCCACATCCAATATAATGAAGATTTCTTCCAATTTGTCCATGAAATGTATAGTTTTAGCTCTTAGGCTTAGTTTTTTATTGATTTTGAGTTAATGTTTGTATATGGTGTAGGTAAGGGTCCAACTTTATTCTTTTGGTTATGGATGCCCAGTTTTTCCAGCACTATATGTTGAAAAGACTCCTTTACCCCATTGGATACTCCTGTTGTCTATGTTGAAAAATTGATTTACTATAAACATAAGCATCTATTTCTGGATGATCCCATTGGTCTATACATCTTCCCTTATGCCAAGTACCATATTGTTTTAATTACTGAGCTTTGAGATAAGTTTGGAAGTTGGAAAGTATAATCACTAAAACTTTATTATTCTTTTTCATTACTGTTTTGGCCATTCAGGGGCTCTTAAAATTCCATATGAACTTGAGAATCTGCTTTTCCATTTCTGAAAAGAAATGTTGCAATTTTAATAGGAACATTTAGTCTTTCCATTTCTGAAAAGACTGTTGCAATTTTAATAGGAATTGTATTGAATCTGTAGATTGCTTTGAGCAGTATTGATGATAACGTAACAACTTTAAATCTTCTTCTGCATGACCACAGGATGTCTTTCATTTATTTAGGTATTTCATTACTTTCAGCAATTTTTTGTAGTTTTAACATAGAAGGTTTTCATTCCTTTGGTTAGATTTATTCCAAAGTGTTATAAATGGCATTATAAATGGAATGGCTTTTTAAATGTTCCTTTTATATTGTTTATTGCTGTTATATAAGAACAATTATTTTTGTGGGTTGCTCTTATATCTTGAAACTTGTTTAATTTATTAGGTCTAGTAGCTTTCTTGTGAGTTTGGGAGGATTTTCTATATACAAAGATCATGTAACCTGAAAATAGAGATGGCCTTACCTCTTCTTTTCTAATTTGCATGAATTTTATTCCTTTTTATTTTCTAATGGCTCTAGCTAGAACTTTTAATACAGTCTTGAGTAGCAGCAATGAAAGAAAACATTCTTACATAGTTCCTGATCTCAGGTAGAAAGCTTTTATTCCTTCACCAGTGAGTATGTTATTAGCTGTGGGTGTTTTATAAACAAACTTTTAACGTTAAGGAATTTTCCATCTCTTCCTAGTTTTCTGAGAGATACTCTCATAAAAGGTATTTGTTAAATGCCTTATCTACTCCAAGTAGATGATTGTGTGGTGGTTTTCCAACATTATATAAATATTATATAATTATATATATATAATTATATATATATAAGTATATATTAATTGATTTCCTTATTGTATCATCCTTGTATTTTGGTTATAAATTTTACTTCATCATATGCGTAATCCTTTTGGTATGCTATTAGATTCAACTAGCTAATATTTTGTCAGTAGTTTTTGCATCACACTTTTAAAAGCTGTTAACCTGTAATTTTCTTTTCTTGTGATATATTTATCTGTTTTTGGTATCAAGGTAATGCTGGCCTCATAGAATAAGTTAGGCAATTTTCTCTTCAAGTTTTCAGAAGAGTTTCAGAATCTTTTTTTTTTTTTTCATTAAATCTTTGGTAGAATTGACTGTGAAGCCATGTGATCCAGAAGTTTCCATTGTTGAGAAGTTTTAGATTACTGGTTTAATCTCCTTACTTGTTATGCATCTGTCAAATCTGTCAAGATTTTCTATTTCTTCTTGAGTCATTTTACATAATTGGTATACTACAAGGAATTTGGCCATTTCTTATACAGTATCTGATTTCTCTGTAATGCCAGTAATGATGTCCTCACTTTTATTTCTTATTCTAGTTGTTTTATTATCACTTTGCTTTTCGATATAGGTAAAGGTTTATCAACTTTGTTGATCTTTTCAGAGAATCAACATTTGGGCTCATTGATTTTCTCTATTATTTTTCTATTGTCTATTTTGGTTATTTCTGCCCTAGCCTTTATTATCTCCTTTCTTTCCCTAGCTTTGGATTTAGTTTGCTCTTCCTTTTCTAGGCCCTTGTGGTATAAATTTAGCTTATTGATTTGAGATCTTATTTCATAACGTAGACATTTACAGCTACAAATTTCCCTCTTAGCAATGCTTTCACTGCATCTCCTAAGCTTTGCTATATTTTTTTTTTCTTGCATTTTCTAATTCTTTGTGATTGCTTTTTTGACCCACTGGTTGTTTAAAAATGTACTATTTAATGTCCATATATTTATGATTTTTTTCTATTTTACTTTTTATTGATTCCGAACTTTACCCTGTTGTGATCAGAGAAAATGCTTTGCATAATGTCTATCTTTTAAATCTATTGAGACATTTTTGTGTGTGTCGCCTGACTAGTTTATCCTAGAGAATGTCCCAGGTGCACTCAAGAATAATGTGCATTCTGATGTTGTTAGTTGGAGTGTTCTATTTATGTCTATTCAGTCTACTTGGTTTATACTGTTGTTCAGATCATCTGTTTTCTTGCTTATCATCTGTCTGGCTGTTCTATCCATTGTTAAAAAGGTGTTACTGAAGTCTCTAGTTATTATTGTAAAACTGCCTATTTCGCCCTTCAATTCTGTCAAGTTAGCTTCGTATATTTTCAGAGTCTGTTTTAAGTGTGTAAATGTTTATAATTTTTATATATTCATGCTCTATTGAAACTTATATTAATAAAGCCCTTCTTTGTCCCTTATAACTTTTTAGTCTTTTTTACCTGATATTAGCATTGACTCTCAGGTCTCTTTTGGTTGCATTTGCATAAAATAACTTTTCCCCATTATTTCACTTTCAACCTATTTGTGCCTTTGGATCTAAAGTAAGTCTCTTATACATAGGACATTGTTGGATCATGTTCACTTTTTCTTAATTCATTCAGCAAATGTCTGTATTTTGATTGGATAAATTAATCCCTTCATACTTAACATAAATATTGATAAGGAGGAACTTACTTCTGCATTTTTTGCTATTTTTTCCATATGCATGATAGTATTTTTTGTCCCTCATTTCCTCCATTACTGGATGAATTTTTTTATCATAAATGGGTATTGACTTTCATCATTTTCATCTCATGCTTTTGTCTTTATTGTATTATCTGCATATTATACAACTAGAGGGGAGCACAAACCCTATTTGAGGCCCTTTAGAAACAATATTAAAATAAGTTACTCACACTAAATAACTGTTCAATTGAATTCAGTGAATACAGATCTTTAATCTGCTAATAGCATAGTAATGTGTGAAGTACAACAGGGGATTCAAAAATAATAAAATATGCACCTTGATCTCGAGAAAAGGAAAGAGAAAATGAATTCTACATTTACAGGGAAAGTTCTCTGTGCCAGTTTCTGTGCTTAAAAGTATTATTTTATATGGTCGTTAGGCATAGCCACCTTCAAGTTAAGGAGAAAGTGGACTTATTAATACAGGAAGCATAGATCAGATAGGAGAGCACAGGATCTTGGATTCAACTGCAGAGTTTAAATCCTTCGCAGGTAAACAGCTCTATGATACTGGTCTGGTTATTTAAAAATCTCTGAACCTCAGTTTCCTCAATTGTAAAAGAAGGATAATAACTTCATAGGAATGTTATAACAATTCCTTGATGACTTTGGAAACTTGTCTAACATTTAGTAATCACTGAGTTCTCATTAATGATGAAGAAATTTAAAATCATAGCACTTAAGAGCTTGGATAAACAGAGAAACTGTAATTCATTCTTTCAAAACTCTTTTTAAATAAAGGAATAAAATAAAATTCACATGAAACAAAAGTTTGAGGATTAGTAGAAATATAAAAATCTCTCCCAAAGTACCATTTATATTCACACAAATAGTCCTTCAATAGGGATGAAATATAGGTGTGAAAAATTAATTAAGAGAGTGGGAAATGACAATGTCTTATGTAAGAGAATATGTAGATTCTCAATCTAGACTTGTTACCAACCAACTAGGCAAGTATAATTATTTAACTTAATCACTGAGTACTGATCCACCTCATCAAATAGACTCCTCTGACTCCATGAATTACCTCAGAAAGATGAAATTCATGGAGTCAGAAAAAAAGCAGCAGGTTGTGCTGTAATAACAGCTTCCTAAAAATTATAATATCAACATGACAGCTAATAGGAAGCATTGAAGATTGTATCATATGCTGTCACTTAGCTGTTTAAAAAACTCTTGTTTGTTAGATTTCTCTTGTTTGTAAATGAAAGTCCAAACTTCCTAGCCTAGTGTACCACCTAATATGGTACCATCTAATATCAGTAATATTTAACTGCTAATCAACTGCCATCACACCACACTATATTACAATCTTGTGTTTTTGCACCCACTATTTCCACTGTTTCTTCTACCTGGATTCCGACTCTGGTCTTATTTCATCTTACCTTCTATGCCTGAGTAATTAAGATATGTATTAAATATCATCTCTCCTGGGAAGCATTTTTAGGCTTAGAATTAGGTCATCTTCTATGTTCCCCAAAGCCACTAAGTATTTATTTATGTAATGGCATTTGCTAAATTGTATTACTATTATCTGTTGATATGCTGGTGTACATATAATTGCAAGGGAATTATATGTACATCATGTACACTTTAGGGGACCTTAAGGGAAAAACCTACATCTAATTGTCTTTGATCCCCAGAATACAGTTCATCTAGGTAATCAATAAACCATTATAGATTAAGCATGAACATATTAATATTGACTAGATGATATAAAATGTCTCAAAAGCTTTGTAATATTAAGTATGGGAGAAATTTTTGAGGCAATCTTAATCAAATTCTTCTGTTCAATATTTGAAAAACTACAAGGTGATGACTTTTACAAATAATACCAATGAGTTGATGGTAAAGGCAGGTCTGGTAATTGTTTTCTGCCTTCTTGTTTAGGTGTTATTTCCTATATACTGTCTTACGTCAGAGATGAAAAGTAACTTGGAAAACAACAACAAAAAATCATCGGTAATGATTCTGTCATATTAATTTTACCCTCACCCTTGGTTTTATAGGTTCTGTTTTTCTTGCCTTCGGATGTTACTCAAAATGGTGAACAACCTGCTCCAGGAGAAAATGGTCAATTACAATTTGTGCTTCAAGAAGAGCTTTCCAGTGGTGATTCAACAACAAAAGCACAGTCTGTTTTCTTTGGGGGCTATGCTTTCTTCAAGTTAAGACTCTCTAGAAGTCCTTTAGTCTCCCAACCAGATAACAAAGATAGGAGATTGGTGGCAGATGAGCAAAAGCAAAGTATCCTTTCATCTCCCAAATTTTCAGAGGAAGAAATTGAACTGAAACCTGTGCCTCCCATATTAGAGAAAAAGCCCTCAGAAAATACTATGTCCATTCAGCTAGACTCTACATTTAAACAAATGACAGATGAAGATCTACGATCTGCTATGGTACAACCCTCCCAAATGGAAACCCAGTTGATGGAGAACAAAACTGTGTCACTCCAAGTTTTTCCATCCCTTTCTGTACTAAAACTCCAAGATCTATCACCTGAGGACTTACCATCCCAAGCTCTACAAGGCCTGCCAGAACAATCTATGCCATCCAAGTCTACATCATCCAATGTCAAACAGTCTTATAATCTGACAGCTAATGACCTGTCCCCTCAAGGCATACTATCCCAGGATATGCTGCTTAATGACATGGCATCACAAGACATGCAATTCCTATCTATACTATCTAAAGACACAGCATTCCACAATGTGTCATCTCAAGATATACCTTCCCAAGATGTGCTGTCCCAAGCTGTATCAAAACAAGTCATATTACCTGAAGCCTCAACATCCCATATTGTGCAGGTCCCTAAAATACAACGCCTACTTCAGCAAAGCCCAGATCTTCAACCAGAAAACATTCACCCTCAAAATCAGCAAAATTTACTAATGTCATATCAAGATATTAGATCAGAAGTTATGGAAGAAACCAAAGGATGGAAAGCTGAAGAGAAACTCCATAGAAGAAAATCCTCCAGACGGCATTCCTTAAACCAGCAAACCAAAGGCTTGCAATACCTAAGGACATATTCCTTACACATGCAAACCAAAGGCCAGCAATCCCCAAAGAGGCATGCCTTAGATCAGCAAAGCAAAGGCTGGCAATCTCCAAGGCGGAAATCCTTAGACCAGCAAATCAAAGACTGGCTATCCCCAAAGAGGCACTCCATAGACAAGCAAGCTCAGCTTAATCAAACCACAGAGCAACTCCCAGATCAGCAAGCCAAAGGGGAACAATTCCCAGAAGGACAATCTAAAGATGAGCAAGTTAAAGACCAGCAGACTGATAAGCAGCAACACTCAAAGAAGCAAACCCAGGATCAGCAAGCTGAAGGCCAGCAGGCCCAAGAGAAGAAATCCCCAAAAGGATGGTCCCAAAGTGTTCAACCTAAAAGACAGCAAGCTCAGGTGGAGAAAATGCCAAAGCAGTTATGCCAAGATTCAGAATCCCACATACAGCAAGACCAATTCTGGCAATATCCACAGAAGCAATCTATAGCCTGGATAACCCAAGACTGTCACTCCAATAACTGGAGAATTCAAGGCTGGAGAGACAAAGATTACAAAGAACGAAAATGGCAATTTGTAGCGCAGTACTGGCAAAAACAAGATCTATTCGAGAAAGAAGCTCCAAAGCAGAAAGCTCTATACCAAGAAGTCCAAACCCAGCACACTACAGCCCAATTTAACCTAGAATGTCAAGACGGTCAAGATAAAGACCAACACGACCTTCAATCCAGAGTTACACAAAAAGGAGATATGTATACTAGAGACATCAAACCAGGGGACATAAAATGCATAGGGCAAACCTCAGGGGACCTGCAGTCAGAAGATGTGAAGCCAGATTTCCATTCTTCTTCGGGCCAAAGCTCAGTACAAGACACATGTTTAGCCTATTTGTCCCATCTGGATTCGGAACAAGATGTACAACCAAATACTTCAGCTTCCTCAAATTCATATAAAGAAGATGGGAATTTAACTTCTACTTCATATGATCCAACAGATCAACAGCAATCTGAAGACTCTGAATAACATGCAGAATCTACCCCAAGTGCCACACTGCCCCCAATAATGGAATTAAATTAGGAAAAAACAATATCATCTCCTCCAACCTGTGTTCTCAACTGTGGATGCTACCTAATTATGTTACCAAAAACTGAAGGGCATGCAGAGCACTCAAAGAATTTGTCCTTACTTGAAATAAAATGACCAGAAACCAAATAATAACAGTGTATCAGTACTTTATGCATGTGAAGAAATAATTCACATGTAAACTCCTTGTCATCAAAGTTAGTGCTTTAATTTATAATTATGATTTTATTTTACAACTTAATATTTAATGGACCTACTTTGCTATGATGCTGTATTTTTTGTCTCCCCCTTTCTGCATTATAGAAGTCCAGAAAATCAACCACAGGGAAGTCTATGAAGGCTCTTTAAAGGTTCATGAACCAAAAGAGTCAGCAAGGAACAAAAATTGCTTCCATTTCCCTGTCTTGCTGTTTCCAATCCTCTCATTTACTCTCCCTCTTCATATCTATGTTGAGGATATATGGACTAAGTTGGTTCAATTATTAATGAGATAGAATGTGGCAATAAATACAGAATGTGATGGATGGAGTGGGAGGGACTAAGAGATATCTAGAGATAGGAAAGTAGAAATTGGGGAATAACAGAGATGCAGATGTCATAACAGAAAATATGACAGACCGTAGTGTATTGAGTGAAACTGTAGCTCCCTTCTCTATGCCTGCATTTACTGATTCTAATTTCTCAACCCTTATAATACATAATTTCATGCTCTGTAGTCAAAGGAAATTGTGTTACCAAAAGCTATAGTTTACCCTCAGTCTTCCAAACCCAATCATTTTTTTTAATCCTATTTCCCTTTATCTCTTTGATACATTTGGAAAGGTTAACTATCCCTTTTTTTTTCCAATTTGTATCACCCCCCCCTTAACTACTGTGTTTTGCTCTTCCTGTTTCAAAAATTCTATAGTCGATATTTCTAGGATCTCTCTCTGACTTCATTCATTTTTTTTGTAATTACAATGCACTATTAATAACCTTAAATTTCTGTGCAAAATTCCTTTTCTCATTAAAGATAACCCACAATCAGGAAAGATTGTGGGTTCCCATAAATAGCACACATGTGGAAAAATCCACACACTTTTAAAAATCAATGTTTTCCCAATTTGTTAGAAACACCTTTGACTTTTAAAGCAGGAACTAACTGGATTGGTGTTTTGAAGAGATTACTCTGGCTGCAGTGTGGAGGATGAACTGGAGGAGGAAAGTTGGAGGCAGGGAGTTAATTAGGAAACTCTTGAAATAGTGAGGAAAGAGGTACTAAGTGTCTGATCTAGGGATGTATAGAAGAGTAGAGACTAAAAAGATAGTTCAAGAGTAAAACTGTCCAGATGGAACAGGAACTAGAGGTGTAGAATTAAGGAAAATGAAGAATGAACCATCTATTCTAGCTTAAAAGATTAGGTGGCTGAGACATCATTACCATCAACAAAACAGAGGAAGAGGCACAGGTTGGAGGAAGAGGCACAGGTTGGAGCAAGAGTAAGGAGCATAGTCGGTTCCTCCTAGTCTAGTGCATTAGTCAGGATTCTCCAGAGAAATATAACCAAGAAGATTAGATAGACAGACAGGCAGATATATATAGATAGACAAGAGAGACAGATAGATAGATAGATAGATAGATAGATAGATAGATAGATAGATAGATAGATAAGGAATTGGCTCACGTGATTATCAGGCTGAGAAGTCCCAAGATCTGCAAGCTGGAGACCCAGGAGAGCTGATGGTATAGTTCCAATTTGAGTCCAAAGACCTCAGAATCAAGAGTTTAAATTCCACTTCAAGTCTTAGTCTGAAGACAGGAGAAGACCAGTGTCCCAGCTCAAAGACAGTCAGGCAGAGAAAGTGAATTTTCCCTTCCTCAGGCTTTTGTTCTGTTTAGGCCCTCAGCTTACCCATACTGGGGAGGGAAATCTGCTTTATTCAGTCTACCAACGTAAATGTTAATTAACCTCATCCAGACACATCTCATAGACACATTCAGAAGGAACTTTAACCAAAAATCTGGGCACCTATGGTTCAATCAAGATGACGCACACAATTAATCATCAAAGGTCCACCCCTTGTCAACCTGACACTCATATGCATCTCCTTAAGTCCTACTTAATCTTCAAATAAAGACTAAAAGTCATAATTCTTCATAATATGTTACAACTGTCATGCATACAACTGGGACTGTACCAACCTCTTCTCAGAAGAAGGGGTAAAGTCTGTGAGTGATGTTTACTCTTCTCCTTACTGTCTGTGGTGACTTTTATGATTTAAATTGTGTCTCACAAATTCTATGATATAAAGTTAGCAATACTTAATAGTATAATATAAACGTGCTTTATGTTACATGATTAGAGAATGAGAGAGAACAGACTGTGTGTGTGTGTGTGTGTGTGTGTGTGTGTGTGTGTGTGTGTATAGTTTCTATAAATGGTTAGGCGGTCATAGCTGGTATTTATAACTACCTCCTTCTATTACCCATTCTGTAGTCCTTGTGCCTTCAGCAAGCACCTTAGCTGGCCATGGTTCTTTATCTGGTACAGTGATACAAACCTTCATTCCTGAAAAGCCTGGACAATTAGTGGTCCTGCCTGGATTGAGTTGTAGTTTTTTTAATTGACCTTAATCATAGGTCATGGTAATATTAAGAGATGCATGAAGAGATCTCCTATATTCCAAACTTACTCTTCCTCATCTCCATTGTGAAGTAGTGATCTAATTTCCCCATAGTCATCAGAAACAATCACGACATCCAGCACAGTAACCTCATTCAGTTATCTGAAGAGGATGGAAGGGCTTTGCTTCAAAATTCAGCAATAAATCTATAGAAGCCTACTTTGCCAGAGGCTCTACATAGCATCCCTATCTGCCATTGACACTTCAAGCACAATTGGAATCTGTTGGATGGTATGGTCCAAGCAGAAGACATCTTACACCGAAGCTTAGGCCTGTTGTGAAGGCTTTTCTTCTGGTCCTACTCAAAAATAGCAGCTTTGTAAGTCACTTAGATTCTGTGCTTCTTTTTTATTGTGGAAGCCAGCTGTGACAACTTATCCTCATGCTGGCAGAGATTCTCAATATTCCCCACACCACTTGATCCCTAGAAATTTCACTGAGGTATAAGACCCTGAGTTTTTGTCAGATTTATTTCCCATACTCTGGCATGTAAATATCTTATGAATAAATCTAGAGTAGTTACTATGTCTTATTTGCTAGGTCCAATCAGCACAATGTCATCAGTGTAATGGACCAGTGTGATATCTTGTGGAAGGAAAGGGCAATTAAGATCCCCATTAACTAAATTATGACATAGAGCTAGAAAGCTGATATACCCCTGAGGTATGACAGTGAATGTATATTGTTGGCCTTGTCATGTGAAAGCAAGCTATTCCTGGTGGTCTTTACTAATAGCTATCCAGGAAAAGAATTTATCAGATCAGTAACATACTAGGTACCAGAGGATGTGTCAATTTGCTCAAGCAATGAAACCATGTTTGGTAAAGCAGCTGCAATGGGAGTGCCACTGCAGTTGGTAATCCACTGTCATCTTTCAAGTTTCATCTGTCTTCTGCGCATGCCAAATATATTAGTGGAATAGGAATGTGGTGGGAATCAGCATGCCTGCATCTTTCAAGTTACGGATGGTTTCATTAATCTCTATAACCCCTCCAATAAATGTGTTGGGGGTCATCAACCCTGCATCTTTTAAGTTACTGATGGATTTATTAATTTCTGGAGTTCCATCAGGAATGTGGTGTTGCTTTTGCTTTACTATTTTACTAGGCAAAGCCAGTACTAGAGCTTCCACTTGGTATTACTCACCATAATGGTCCTTACTCCACAGGGTAAGAAAATAATATGGAGATTCTACCACCTGCTGAGTATATTTATTTCAATTATGCCTTCTGAAATTGGGAGGATAACCACAGGATGGGTTCGGGAGACCACTGCATCCATTGTGAGATTAACCAGATATAAAACTATGAATCATCAGACCTCCATAAGCACTTACCTGAGTGGTGAGCCACAGTGATGTTTTGGGTCTCCTGGAATTAGTATCAATTCAGAGTTGGTGTCTAGTAGTCTCTGAGATGTCCAGTTATTTCCTTTTCCCCAATGCTCAGTACCTTGGAAAAAATATGCAGGTCCCTTTGAGGAAGGCTGTGAGCAAGATTAACAGTACAAATTATTGGTAAGGCACCAGGTCCTTCTTCAAGGAGACCTGGTCTCCCCTTTCATTCAAGGAGTTCTTTCTGGGTCTGTAAATTTCATTCCTGGTCTGCAAACTGGCTCAGGTCTGGGAATTGATGGAGGGGCTCTGAGTCTCTATTTCTATGATTCAGGTTAGGCTTTCATTCATATGAGCTAGAATTTTTCTGCTTATATAGATCAATGAACAATTTAATAGGATTTCTATCTATTTTACCTCTATGAACACCATGATCAACTAGCCCACACCATAGGTCTGATTCAAATAATCTTATCCATATACACCCTCACAGACACAGCCAAAACAATGTTTTAATTAAATATTTGGGAAGCCTATGACCTGGTTAAGTTGACACATAAAGTTAACCATTGTGTCTCATTTATACTCACTGTCTTGGGGCCACAATCTGGAATAAGTCTTAGTTGAAATCACCTGCATAGATCAGCGGAGTTGCTGGGATGCAAATGTACACCAAGCAAGTCCTCACTGAGACATGTCACTAGAAGGAACAAAAATGTACTATTTTAAAATGTGGATAAAAGATCTTCTCTGGAAAATCATCATCTATATTTATGCAACCTCTCACGTGTGGTTATGACACCTAAAAAGTGATGTAGATCCATCACATTTCTAAAAGGCTAATCTTACTGTTAGTGAACGACACGGACACAAAGAGTCCTTAGGAAAGTACAGATCTCCTTTTCAGCCATAATATCCTCCATCAATTCACAAGGTACTCTTTGGACATTGGGAGATTTTCATCTCTCATTCTACTTTCCCCACTAGCACATACACCTTTTTTTCCCGGTGATCCCTGTGGCTTTTTTTCCTCCCCTACCTACTCTCGGATTCAAATATGAAGTTTCTGGTCAGAGGCTTAAGGTTTTATGCATCACTGGAGAAAGCCTTAGGTCTCAAGACAATGCCCTGA